AGATAAATGGAACAAACTGTGTACCATTTCCCCACAAAGATACGAGCAGCAGAACAATGGAGAGGCGAAGGAAAAAGTAAAGGAACAAAGGGAACATCAGCCCGAATCAAGAGAGCAGAAGAATTAGAAGCCCCAGCAAAGGCTGGGGGGGGGGGAGAGAAAGGAATAGCCACGAAAACGACCAGGACGAGCACCAAGCATTGGCTCCTGGAGACAGACACAAAGGGGCGAAAACCGCGAAATCAGAAGTTGGAGTTCGAGGAAATTGGCGTAATAACCTCGAACGTTCCATTGAAGAATGGACAACGACGAGAAGAGAAAGGACAAAAACAGAGAACAAGGAAGAAACAAAGGCGAAAGAGCAACAGAGCACGTTAAAGAATATCAGGGTCGGGATCAGGGTCAGCAAAGTCAGGGTTAGGGGGCATGGGTAAACTGAGCAAAGACGGAGGGAAGGAAACGGGAGAACAGATCAGAGGTGGGCGGGCAGGGTCCGGAGGAGGAGGAGGAGACAAAGGAGAGGAGCAGTCAAGGACAGCAGCAGGAAGAGGGGGAGTAGAAAGAGGGGAGCGCACCCCAGCAAGAGCAGCAACCGAAAGGGAAGCAGGGGCCAAAGAAACCTCCATAGCAGGAACAGGAGGCGCAAGCACTGAAACGGGAGGGGAAGGAGCAACAGAGCCAGAAGGAGGAGCTGAGGAAGAAAGCGAAGCCTTCTTACCCGCCGGGGAAGAGGAAGGAGAGGAGCCAGGCTTACGCTTCTGACTTAAAGAGACCGGTGTCCCAGCAACTACGTACCGGGCAACGGATTCCAGTGTCTCAACAGGAGAAGCCGAACGAGAGCACACACGACGGCCGTTAGGAGAGCGATGGACATCCGCCCGCACCGACAGGCGGTGGGGAGAGCCGATAGATGGAGGAAGAGGATGGGAAGGAGGATCGGAGGGGGACGAGGAAGAAGACACAGAAGACACGACAGACCGGGTAGAAGGAAGGGGAACCCCAGACAGAGGACCAGGAGGAGGATCCTTCGGGAGAGAACCCAAAGGAACAGAGGAGGGGGCAGTGGGCGCATCAGGGTCCAAGGCCCGGAAACGGTTGTGAGTCTGAGGAAGGCGGGAAGGACGAGGAGAGGAAGAGCGCAACACGCGAGCATAAGAGATACTAGCATAAGGCGGGAGCCGGCGAACCTGTCGCCTCGCCTCAGGAAAAGATAAACGCTCCCGGTGCTTCAAGTTGAGGACGGCTGCCTCAAGCTTGTAATGGACACACGCACGGGAGAAGGTAGGATGGGCCTCACCGCAGTTGAGGCAACGAGCCTGGGAGAAGTGCACTCTGACTTAAGAGTGACCTTCGCCACCACACAAATGACAGAGAGAGACAGTCCCGGAGCAGCGGAGGGCACCATGCCCAAACCTCCAGCACTTGTTGCAGAGCCGAGGAGAAGGAATGTACTCCTGGACAGAGCACCTGGCACCAGCAAGAATGACAGAGGGTGGAAGGGTCCTACCATCAAAGGTAATCTTGACAACCCGGAGGGGGTGACGACGACTACCACGAGGGGGACGAGTAAACGTGTCCACCTGGAGAATAGAATGGCCCTGGGCAGCGAGGATATGTCGAATATCGTCGTGGCAGTCGCGCAGGTCCCGAACACCGGTCGCAACATGGGGTGGGAGCAAAATAGTGGCAACACTGGCATTCAACTGAGCGTTCTTCGAGACCCGAACGGGGGTCTCGCCATGGCAGGATAAGGCAGCCAAGCGGGAAGCAGCATCCTGAGAAGGAGCAGCAACGACACGTGTACCGAGACGAGTGGGGTTGAAAGTAATGGAGGCATCCACGGAATCAATGAGATGTCGATGAAGGGAGAAATCGTCAGGAGGCGCAGAATCAAGAGGGAGTAGATCAAAATATTTGGCCCACGAAGCGGGACCAAACAAGGCTTGATAGGTAGCAGAACTGGAAGGAATCGAGCGAGGGCGGCCGTGACGAGGACGGCGGAGAGAACCCCCAGAGAGGGGTTAAAAAGCGCAGTAGTCACAACTAGAGAAGGAGCCGCGCCAGGGGACGAGGTAGTCACCACTGGGGGCTTGGGGCTCGACCCAACCACAGAGGAAGGAGGGGAGCCAGGGGAAGGAGTCAGAGAGGCCAAAGGAGGAGCAAGGTCGGGGCCCAATGCAGCGGAGGCTACAGAGCCCGATCTTCCAATACGGACCGACTCGGGGGCTTGGTCGCCCACCCCACGAGCCTGAGAAGGTAAGCCAGAAGCAGCCGAAACAGGGGTTATCATCTTGACGAAAAGAAGAATTCATTCACGAATGTGCCCCCACACCCACCATGGAGCCACAATTAGAGGCAGGACACCCAACAAGAAGCTATCGCCGATCTTGTCGGGGCCTCCTAGGGGTGCGTCGTGAGTATACGCCCACAAACGCCACCTTAAGAAACCGACAGTCCGTCGAGATCGGGTTCAGTGACGAAAGGGGGATTGACAATAAAAGGTTCCCCTCGCTCTCGACGTCGGGTACTACAGTTCTACGGGTGCAAGAGTATGCCTCCTCAAGCACCCGGGCGTCAAAATAGAAGAAGTCCAAGGGAAGAACCAGAACGAGCAAAAGGTCGGCAGGAAACGGCAAGCAGATAGGAGAAGAGGGGGGAGAAAAACGAAACAGAAGGAAAAGGGAAAAGATGCCCAGCAGAATTGGAGAGGACGGCAGCAGGAGCACAAGGCTAGAAAAGGACAGAGGACTGTCCCAAGGAGCATCACACTCCTGCAGCCGCCCACTAAGCCCCCACACGGCGACAACGAGCTGAGCGGGGAGGGGGGCACCGGGTCAAGACATGTTTCCACTGTGGACTCGTCCAGGTTGGGGGAATGCCCACCACCACAGTTGGACCAGCATGGAGCGGTGTCAGAGGGCGAGATTTAGTGCTAGGATATAGGTTTATTATTTATGTTTTGTTAGGGAAACTCTTTATATTGGCATAGTAATGGAATTGCAGGTTTGTGTGGGAAGAAGTTAATGGAGGAACTTCGTGGCTGGAGAAGAAGTGTATGCTGAACTCTGAGGTACAACAGAACTCCATAGTGAGGATTTGAACTTCAAGTAGTGTAGGGAAGCTACACGTTTCATTTGTGGAACTTTCATTCACTGACACTGGAGTAGGACTTCATGTGAAGCAAATTGGGAGAACAGCAGAAGTATCTTACTTGATTTTGGAGGGACCCAGATGTATGTTATTGGTAGTGAGCCTCAAGGAAGAGAACAGAAAATCATGTGAACACATTAATGTATGTGGGGAGTGCTTGATTGCTTATTGGCATGCAAGACGCAGTGTAAGGTGAGTCAATTATTTATTTTTTGTTGGGGGATACCAATGTAGATGTTCCAGGTATTTCAGCCCCAAGATGAGATTCATATTCTTCTATGGTCGAAGATATATTATAACTGTGCCATGTAATTATAATATGTAGGCCTGCCTGGATATCTGGGCTTGCGGCCTCTCAAAGCAACGGCCTGTTGGACCAAGCTCTCACATGTTAATCCTGGCCTCGGCTTTTTGCATTGGGAGTAGAACCTGAACCCCATCAAGCAGGTATCAAGCAGAAATGGGGTGACCAAGTCAAATGGGTGTCAGAGATCAACCTTAACCCTTGGGCAGCTGTCATCATCATTGGTAATGTGGTCATCGTCATGTAACAATTTAAACAATTATTGTCTGGGTTTTGCATAACCTTGGGCCTTGAGGATTTTTTTTTACCTCTCGGCAGTCTGAGTTCTCTATCTCCAGTCGTGACAAGGTACAGTAATGACTGTGGCAATGCTGGCATTTAAGTGGAAATTTCTGACGACCCTAACTGGGATCTCGCCAGTTGAGGACAAAGCAGCTAGGTGGGGGCAGTTGCCTGCCGAGGAGAGGCCACAGCGACGTGTGCAACAGTCCAGGTGGGGTTAAAAGTGACAGGTATCCAGAGAGGCAAGAAGCTGCTCGTGTATAAATCATCAGTGTTGAGTTCATCATGAGTAATATCAAAATACTTAGGCCATGAAGCGATGCCAAAAATATCATGGAAGTTTGAAGAAATCGTGCCCGTTCGAGGGCTGTGACGGTACCTTGATCCCCCATTAAAGCGGCGGTGTTAAAAGGTGCAGTTGTCACAATAAGAGATGGAGCCAGTCTAGGTAACGAGGCAGTCACTAGGGAGGGAACTAAGATGATGAGGTAGACAAAGCTGAAGGCTGCTCTGGGCTCAACACAGCTGGGGCTATTCAATCTGATCTTCCGTCACTGTCTGGTCTCTGGCGCCCTGGGAGCCCTCCCCACAAGCCCGTGTTTGACAAGTCGTTTCAGTTACATCATCATTGTCTTCAAAAGTTTGGGGCCTGGAGCCAAGGAATACCACCTCCCAGGGAGGCCGAGCACTGGCTGGTGCACAAAAGGGTGCATCAACCCAAGCAGTGCTAACCTTTTTAACAAGGGCAGTCCTATGGCATTGTACATTCTCTTACACCAGTGAAAAGACTTCTTTCTCCTAATTAGCATCCAATGTCAGGCCCTCATGAGCGCTTCCTCCAATGGGTGGTCTGATGACCCGAACGAATACCCTCTCAACACGCATATGACGAGATCTATTTATTTGTATATTCAAGTGATCTTACATACCAGTACAGCTATTAGCACGCATAGCATTTCGGGCAAGTCCGCAATCCTGAAGGCTTAAATTCCCCTGAATACAACCCGCCAAATCGTTTAACAACCAGGTATCTATTTTACTGTTGGGTAAAGAGAGGCGACAGTTAAGTGTTTATGCCCAGTAAATCCTTCCCGGCCAGGATACAAACCTAGGACAAAGCCCTCCCAAAATGCCAGGGGAATGTCTTGTCACTTCACCACTGGAACTGCTTAAGTCCCTGTGGATTCATATTATAAATATTTAGATTAATATTATAAATATACTTTTTTTAATTTCACCTCTTTGAAGGTAATTTACAACCAACTATTTTACAAACTTTAATTTAAAAATCATGCTTACAAAATACAAGCAAGTCACTGCAACAGTGCTGCCACCCTAAGACAGGTCACTGCAACAGTGCTCCCACCAAAAGACAATGTTCCAATTTAGAATCTGAAGTGCTTGTATACCAATTGGTATATACGGTATTTTTATTACAATTATTTTAATAAATGTTTGACATACGGCACTTTATTGCAGTAATGCAAATCGCCCATATCTTTATTTTAAGTTTTATAAAATCTACATGTTGGATGCATATTTAAAACCTCTTAACACATTAATTTCATTAAACAGAAAAACCACTAGTAAAGTGAGCACCAGTAAAACCTAACACTAGGATGCGTTCCTTGGTGAAGTTACAAGGTATAAGGGACCTATAGGCTTCGATGTTAATGAGTGGCGCGCCACTAGTACCCTCCTCGTCTCTCACTGCTCTTATCCTCTCTAGGAAGTAACTGTACTATTTATCTTAAAATTTCATCTCGTCACAGTAGGTATTGTAACCATTGATATCCTTCAATGTCACGGCTGTCAGGCCACGACTTACCTCAGTCTTCACTAGAAACTTGACTTAGGTCTTTAGAGTAACGGAGTGCGGAGAACTGCCACACCTGAGAGCGAGACCGGTGTCTGGAAAGGACCTCCAGGTGGCGTATGGTACGAGCGAAGGACTCTGGCGTCTCCTGAGCCAAAAGTGGGTTTTCTTGCACCGTCCCTCGTGGTCGAGGCCTCAGGGAGTAGCGCCCTTCTCTGCTGCTCCCATGCTCCTTGATCATAGGCTGCAACAAAAGTTATTGCATATATAACTTGTACAAACAAAATTATAATGCCCAAAATACTGTATAATTGGTGGCCATATAAAATACACAAATACTGTATCTCCTAAATATGCACTAATTAACCTTTTGTCTATACCTATTGACAAGAATATTTATATACAAAAAGGTACATTGTGTTTATGAGAGTACATCACATTGATTTTTTGTTAATTCTTGTAAAGCCCATCATGCAGTGTTTCGGGCACGTTCTTAATTGAACAGGTAATTTTAAGTAGGTATTTTCTAGCAATTTTTTTTTTTTTTTAGGAGGTACGTTGTAAGAAAATTTGACAAAGATTAAGTAATTATCAAAAGAAGGCACCAAACCGGGAAGGCTATGTAGCACCATCAAATGTGCGGGATAATCAGAGGGCGCTAAATATCACCAAGGATGCCAATACGAGAACAGAAACGCACAAGGCGAACAATATCAAAAGTATCCGCGTCACCAAGAATAAGATCGAGGGACAAGCGACTGTGGGGGACAGTTGGAAAACAAGACATGCTCATTCCGGAACTCAAGACATTCAACAAGGATATGCACGACTGTAAGAGGGACAATGCAATTTGGAAAATAAGAAGCAGGGCGGTGCTCCAAGTGACCGTGAGTTAAGCGAGTATGGCCAATATGCAACCTCGCCAGAGCCGTTTCCCATCGCCGGTTACGGTATTAGGAGGATGGCTACGAGGACACACAACTCTTAAGAGTAAGCAGTTTGTTACCAGTAACAGAAGACGAACAAGCCTGCCAACGGGTAAGGATGGTGGAATGGATAACCGGGTAAAGGTCGGAATATGGAATACTTTAACGAGAGATGGGACAAGAGCGGACAGCTTCCTTAGCGGCAGCATCCGCATGCTCATATAAAGAGACACCAATATGGCTGAGAACCCAACAAAACTCAACTGACTTAAATTTACTGTGAACAAGAAACAGCCAATGCTGGATCTCGACAACCAATGCATGAACCGGATGAAAGGACCCGAGAGCCATGAGGGCACTACGAGAGTCAAACAACAACTACAAAGGAAGATTGACAACGAGAAAGCAGGAGACGAACAGCATAGAGAATTGCATAAATTTCTGCTCTGAAGAGTGACACATATAAGTGCAATCAGGAAAAACAACAGAAGAGCTTACACCGTCCACAGATTTAGACCCATCGGTGAAGACGGAAACTGAGTGGGAGTGAGAAGAAAAGTGCTCGAGGAAAAGGCGTTTTAGAACTGTAGGAGGAGTAAAAGCTTTAGTGATGCGGGTTAAGCATTTACAAAACTGCGGAAGGGGGACTCTCCATGGGGCAAAGAAGGAACACGAGGAGAAATATTAGAAATACGAACTGAAAGAGAATCCTGTAAGCGAGATAACTGGATAGAAAGAGGGAGGTTGTGAAGAGAAACAGGAACCGCAGGAGGGGCAAAAATTAAAGCACGAAAGGGGCGAGAGAACGGATGTTGCAAGGACCGCGCAAGATAGCGAAGACAGGAGCGATCATGGCGGTCCTGGAGAGACAGGAAGCCAGTATCAACATACAAGCTGTAAATGGGAGGCGAACGAAAGGCACCAGAACTAATGCACAACCCTATAGTGCAAAGCATCAAGACAGCGAAGAGTAGAAGGAGAAGCAGACGAGTAAGCAGGGTAACCATAATCCAGCTTAGACTGGACGAGAGAGGAATGTAAAGTGTGCCTATCCACTCCCAAAGAAGTATGGGACAATACCCAAAAGAGGGTAAGGGCCTTAGAGCATTCAACACGGATGTAATAGATGTGGGGCGACCAAGACAAATGAGCGTCAAAAATCAACCCCAAAAGCTTTGCGGAATCATTGTACACAATGGGGTGACCATAAAGAGACAAAGAAGGACGAAGAACGACACGCTGCCGAGTAAAAGTCATAGCATAAGTTTTAGACGTAGATAACTTGAAGCCATGATCGGTGGCCCAAGACTATACGGCATCAATCGCAAGTTGAAGCCGGCGTTGAAGGAGAGGCGAATCATCACCCTGACAGCAAAGGGTAAGATCGTCGACAGAGAGTGGAGAAGATGCCTGAATGAAGAGAGGAAATTGAGGGAAGACCAAGGAAGAGACCATTGAGGGAAACCAGAAAAAGAGTAGTGCTAGGAACAATACCCTTGGGCAAACCTTTGTATTGCTGAAAAAGAGGCAGAGAGAGCGGTACCAAGCCTCACCCGAAAGGAAAGACGAGAGAGGAAGCTGCGGAGAAAGAGGCAGATGACCACGAAGCCCAAAAGATCGAAGTTGAGATAGAATGTGATATCGTCAAGTTCTGTCGTAAGCATTTTCCAGGTAAAAAAAATTCGGCAACATCGGAGGTCTTCACAGCAAAACAGTACGGATATAGACCTCCAATTTCACCAGGACATCTGTTGTTCTGCGGCACTTGCGCAAACCAAATTGAGAAAGGGAGAGGTGGTGATGGTTTTTTAAGAACTACATTAGACGAACGTTAACCATACGTTCATAGAGTTTGCAGACACAACCTGTGAGGGCAATAGGGCGAAAGTTTTTGCGGGATGTTTCAAGAGACCCCGGTTTGCGAACAGGGAGGACAACGGCATCGAGCCAGTCCTCAGGGACTGACGATGGCTCACAGATCTGATTATACAGACGCGGTAAATAATGAGATATGCATGGAGAGAGATGGCAAAGCATCTAATAATGAATGCCATCAGAGCCCGCCATCGCAGAACCGCAGAGAGCCAGGGCAGACCGAAGTTCAGAGAGAGAGAGAGGGAGAAGGGATCGTTATAGGGAAGTCGAAGATGAGTGCAGAAATCTAAAGGACAAGATTCAAGGTTTACGAAGAAGGGAAGATTGGGGAAGATGAAAACCAGAGCTAACAATAGAAAAGTGGGAACCCAGTTCTGTAGCGACCTGCAACGGGTCTGCCACAAGAGTACCACGGACGTGAAGGCCCGGAGAGACGTCGGGAACTAACTTACCCGCTATCTTACGGATACGCTTCCAGATCTGCGGCAGAGGAGTTTCGGACATAATTGGAGACATAAGACGCCCAACATTCTCGTTTAGCTGTACTCGCCTAAAATAAAATGAAAGAATCGGCGGTCTGCCTGTCTCTTCCAGACTGCACTCTTACAGCGGACAGCCCGAGCACAGTCTGCATTCCAGCAGGGAACGCACTTCCGTGGTCCCCGAGAGGAAGAGCGAGGAATAGAGCGGAGGGCAGCGCTGTCATGAAAGAGGAGGAGAGAGCGAGGGAGAGGCTGAAGGGAGAGGTCAGAGAGAGCGAGGGAGAGGCTGAAGGGAGAGGTCAGAGAGAGCGAGGGAGAGGCTGAAGGGAGAGGTCAGAGAGAGCAGCACTTAGGGAAAATAGGTTCCAGTCTGCCTTAGCAAACTGCCACCTAGGGAAGGAGAGGGGAGGGTGTAAAGAGAATAAGTTAACAAAGATGGGGAAATGGTCACTGCCATGGAGGTCATCAAGAACCTGCCACGTGAAATCTAAGTAAAGAGAAGACGAGCAAAGAGAAAGATCAAGACAGGAAAGGGTGCGAATCCGAGAGTCAAAATGCGTGGCCTCACCAGAATTCAGAAGAGACAGGGAAGAAAAGAGGATGAACGGCTCAAGTAGGCGACCCCGGGTGTTCGTCAGAACATCACCCCAAAGGGAATGACGACAATTTAAATCACCTAGCAAGAGCACAGGCTCCAGCAAAAAGTCCAGTAAGTGTTTAATTTTGGGAAGAAAAGACGGTACACTCGGGGGGGGAGATAAATGGAACAAACGGTGTACCATATCCTCATAGATACGAGCAGCAGAACAATGGAGAGGCAAAGGAAAAAGTAAGGGGACAAAGGGAACATCAGAGCGAATCAAGAGAGCAGAAGAGTTAGGAGCCCCAGCAATTGCTGGGGGAGGGGGGGGGAGAGAAAGGACTAGGCACGAAAGCAACCAGGACGAGCACCAAGCATCGGCTCTTGGTGACAGACACAAGGGGGCAAAAACCGTGAAATCATAAGTTTGAATTCAAGGAAATTGGCGTAATAACCTCGAACGTTCCATTGACGAATAGACATCGACGAGAAGAGAAAGGAAAGCAACAGAGAACAACGAAGAAACAAAGGTGAAAAGGGAACACATCACTTTAAAGAAGCGTAGAATCAGGGTTAGGGTCAGCGAAGTCAGGGTTAAGGGACATGGGTAAACTGAGTAAAGGAGGGAAGGGAGCTCGAGGACCGACCAGGGGTGAACGAGTAGGGTCCGGAGGAGGAAGAAGGGGGGATAACCGAAGGTCAAGGAGGGCAGCAGTAGGGGCAGAAACCAGGGAATGCACCTCAGCAAGGGTAGCAACCGAGAGGGAAGCAGGGGGGGCCTAGGAGACCTCCATAAAAGGAACAAGGGGCGTGACCACCGAAACGGGAGAGGACGGATCGAGAGTATCAGAGGTAGGGGGCGAGGAAGAGAGCGAAGCAATTTTACCCGCCGTGGTAGGAAGGAGAGGAACGAGGAGCAGCCAGGCTTACGCTTCTGACTCAGAGACAGGCGTCCCAGCAAGTACGTACTAAGCAACGTATTAAGCAATTCTAGCGTCTCAACAGACAATGCAGAACGACAGCATACAAGACGATCGTTGGGAGAGCATTGGACATCAACCCATACTGATAGGCAGCATGGAGAGTCAATAGACGGAGGATAAGGACGGGAAGGAGATCGGAGGGAGACGAGGAAGAAGACACAGGAGACATGACAAAGGGCAGAAAGAAGGGGAACCCCAGACAGAGGACCAGGAGGGGGATCCTTCTGAACAGAACTCAAAGGAACAGAGGAGGGGGGGGGGGTGGGCGCGTCAGGGCTCCAAGGCCTGGAAACGGTTGTGAGTCTGATGAAGGTGGGAAGGACGAGGAGAGTTAGAGCGCAACATGCGAGCATAAGAGACGTTAGCATAAGGTGGGAGCCGGGAAACCTGGCGCCTCGCCTCAGGAAAAGACAAACGCTCCATGTGCTTCAAGTTGAGGACGGCTGCCTCAAGCTTGTAATGTATACACTCACGGGAGAAAGTAGGGTAGGCCTCACTGCAATTGAGGCAGCGAATCTGGGGAGAAGTGCACTCCGACTTAGAGTGACTTTCGCCCCCACACAAAGAAAAGAGAGACAGTACCAGAGCACCGGAGGGTACCATGCCCAAACCTGAAGCACTTATTACAGAGCCGAGGAGAGGAAATGTACTCCTGGACGGAGCACCTGGCACCAGCAACAATGACAGAGGACGGAAGGGTCCTACCATCATCAAAGGTAATCGTCACAACCCGAAGGGGGTGACGGCGACGACCACAAGGGGGACGAGTAAACGAGTCAATCTGGAGGACAGAATGACCCTGGGCATCGAGGATATGACGAATATCTTCGTGGCAGTCCTGGAGATTCCGAACAACGTTAGCAACATGGGGTGGGAGGAGAATAGTGCCAACACTGGCATTCAACCGAGCGTTCTTGGAGACTCGAACAGGGGTCTCACCAAGACTGGACAAGGTAGCCAAGCGGGTGGCTGCATCTTGAGAAGGAGCTGCAACGACACTTGTATTGAGACGGGTGGGGTGGAAAGTAAGAGGGCATCTACGGAATCAACAATGTGCCTATGGAGGGAGAAATCGTCAGGAGGCGCAGAATCAAGATGGAGGAGATCAAAGTATTTGGCCCACGAAGCGGGACCAAACGAGACCTGATATGCATCAGTACAGGAAGGAATCGAGCGAGTGCGGCCGTGTCGAGGACAGCATTAAGAACCCCCAGAGAGGTGTTGAAAGGAGCGGTAATCACAACTAGAGACTGAGCCGTGCCAGGGGACGAGGTGGTCACCAATAGAGGCTTTGGGGTCGACTCAGCAACAGAGGAGGGAGGGGAGCCGAGAGCAGTATTTAAAAGGAGCAAGGTCGGGGCTCAATGCAGCAGTGGCTACAGAGCCCGGACTTCCAACACGGTCTGACTCGGGGGCTTGGTCGCCCACCCCACGAGCCTGAGAAGGTAGAAGAGGAAGAGAATTAGATATATGGACGAATAGAAAAACATTAACGAATGTGCCCCCATACTCACCATGGAGCCACAATTAGAGGAAGGACACCCAACAAGAAGCTATCGCCGATCATGCCGGGGGCCCCCTAGGGGTGCATTGTAAGTATACGCCCCACAAACGCCACCTTAAGAACCGCCAGTCCATCGAGATCGAGTTCAGTGACGAAAGGGGGATTGACAATAAAAGGTTCCCCCTCGCTCTCGACGTTGGGTACTACAGTTCTACGGGTGCAAGAGTATGCCTCCTCAAGCACCCGGGCGTCAAATTTGAAGTAGTCCAAAAGTATAACCAAAACAAGCATAAGGTTGGCAGGAAACGACAAGCAGATAGGAGATAAGGGGGGGGGGGGTGAGAAAACGATACATAAGGAAAAGGAAAAGCAATCCGGCACAATTGGAGAAGACAGCAGTAGTAGCATAAGGCCACAAAAGGACAGAGAACTGTCCCACTCTGGCAGCCGTCCACCAAGCCTCCTCACGGGCCCAACGGGCCGGATGGGGAGGGTTTTTAAAATGTTGAATGTGTGCTGTCTAGGTAAGTAAGGGCGAGTCGAAGTGCATGCCAAGATATTTATGTTCCTAAGCATGTTGGATGAATGTGTTGTGTATTGTGAGGGTAGGTAGATGACTAAGTATTTTTTTTAGTGAAGATCTGAAAACAGGTATTAGTAGTACTAACTTGGAGACCCCATTATTGTGCCCAAGGAATGAGGTGGTCATGCTGTTTGCATTGTTGAGATTGTAATAGGACATTGAATAATACAATGTTAAATCGCCAGCAGACGCTGAGAGTTGAACGGGGCGAGCATTAGGTAAATCGGCTAAGGTGGCAGCAAAATGGGTTGGGCTTAGAATGGAGCCTTGTGGGACACCTGTTCGAATTGGACTTATCTGAAAACACGCCCTGTATACAGACTTTGGTGGTCCCGTTCGTAGGATAGGATTGTGGCAATAGAAGTAATCTTCCCTGTATGCCTAAACATGCAAGATTTGCCAATAGACAAATATGAGGAATGCTATCAAAAGGTCCTTTAAGGTCTAGGTAGAGAACAATACAACATTTTCTGTTTCTAAAAGACGTGCGGATTTCATGTTCAAAGCAAAGTATTTGATCAAGTGTGAAGCATTACAGTCGAGATCCAGCTTGAGACACTTCACTACACTGCCAACAAACTGACTGCTATAATAAATTTACTATAAATAAATTAAAAATCATTAAACTATGACTTATAAACTAAATACGTACGGTTACGTTTGTTACGTGTAAACATACATAAACTCAATGAATCCAAAAAAAGCGACTCGACTCACTGTGGCGAGACTTCCAAAGACGTAGGGAGAGACTTCCAGGTCGGAGTAGTCGTCAGAATCGTCGTCAGGGTCGTAGATGTCGTCCGAAGAGTCGCTTTGCTCGATCACCGGTGAGAGCGCCACAGGGGACCTGCTGCTTGCTTTCACCAGCCCTGTAAGGCAGTCACACCATCTAAATTAACTAACTTAGTGGATTATATACGAGGAGAAAATGTTGAATCAATACGACTATACATCACTTTGGAGTGAAATGAGGACGAGGTGAAGGAACCGTGTCTAACCGCTTGCACCAGTAGGGATCGATGGGCCTGTTTAGGGAATTACATAAATCTCCAATATCTACAGGGGTAAGCAAGATACAAGGACACACTGGACATGTATTGACACACACAAGCATGCAATCTTCAATAAATGACAGAGCGTGGACGCTTGCAGTGGTTTCAACATCGGTGAAGGGCATTACAAGTGCGATTTGTTAGGATGTTGTATAAGCATGTAAGTACGTCAATTAGGACGTTAGGTGTAGCAGAACGCACTTCTCATACTATGTTTGCGAGTTTTCATTAATTAATTGTTTTTCGACTCTTTTAACTTTCTTAACCTAACCTACCCTACAAAGATAGGTTAGGTGTAAGGTAGGGTAGGTAGGTAGGGTTGGTTAGGTAGGGTTGGTTAGGTTCGTCATATATCTACGTGAGGGTATATCATTTCATAAGAAAAAAATTAGAGAAAATATATTAATTCAGGAAAACTGATTAGTCAAATCAGGCCTCAATAGGCTGAGAAGTGCGTTCTGGCTACTAGGTATATATATATATATATATATATATATATATATATATATATATATATATATATATATATATATATATATATATATATATATATATATATATATATATATATATATATTATTGGTACGGAGTCTAAGTGGGTACAATATAGTTGTGCATTAATTGGCTGTTAATTGATGGTGATGACTTTTTGATGTGTAGTGCCTCACAGATGTCGAGCCTAGGCTCGACATCTGTGAGGCACTACACATCAAAACAACACGGCACTACACTTCAAGACTCCGTACCAATATAGAAGCATCAAGAGGAAGTATGGGCCAATAGGCCCTTTGCAGTTACTTCCGTTCATATGCTCTCATATATCCATTTTTTTTTTTTTTTTTTGAGATATATACAAGAGTTGCTACATTCTTGTACAGCCACTAGCACGCGTAGCGTTTCGGGCAGGTCCCTGGAATACGATCCCCTGCCGCGAAGAATCTTTTTTTCATCCAAGTACACATTTTACTGTTGCGTTAAACAGAGGCTACAGTTAAGGAGTTGCGCCCAGTAAATCCTCCCCGGCCAGGATACGAACCCATGACATAGCGCTCGCGGAACGCCAGGCGAGTGTCTTACCACTACACCACGGAGACTGATAAATTAATACCCATTGTTCCGTGTTCCGTCTTGTGTTTGTCAAAAGTTTGTTCACCTCATCCAAAACTGCTGCACCATATCACCTCACCCAGTGCGAGTATATAAGATGGATAAGACGTTTAGTGTTAGCATAAGTAAAACTCTGTTTTGTGTTTTCAGGTTACAGTTGTGTGTGCAAACTAGTCTTTGAAAATGTAATAAGTTATTACAAAACGCATTCGAGCGTTGCGTCAGACTAGAACTAATTAATAATCAATAGAAGGCACCAAACCGGGAAGGCTATGTAGCACCACCAAATGTGCAGGATAATCAGAGGGCGCAAAGGTAAGGTAATTATCAAAAGAAGGCACCAAACCGGGAGGGCTATGTAGCACCACCAAAGTGCGAAATAATCAGAGGGCGCAAAATATCACCAAGGATGCCAATACGAGAACAAAAACGCATAAGGCGAACGATATCAATAGTATCCGAGTCGCCAAGAATTCTATCGAGGGACAAGTGACCGTAGGGAACGGTCGGAAAACAAGACACGCTCGTCCTGGAAGTCAGGACATTCAAGAAGGACATGCACGACCGTACTTGGGACAATGCAACTAGGACAATAAGGAGCAGGGCGGCGCTCCATCAAGTGACCGTGAGTTAAACGGGAAATGCCAACGTAACCTAGCCAGAGCCGTTTCCCTCCACCGGTTACGGTGGCAGGAGGAAAGTCACAGGGACACACGACTCCTAAGAGTACGCAGTTTGTTACCAAAAAAAGAAGACCAACCACTCTGCCAGCGTGAAAGGATGGAGGCATGAATAACTGGGTAGAAGTCGGAATAAGGAATACCTTTACGGGAGATGGGACAAGTGCGGATAGCTTCCTTAGCAGCCGCATCTGCACGCTCATTTAAAGAGACACCAACATGGCTGGGAACCCAGCAAAACGCAACTGACTTAAATTTACGGGAGATAAGAAATAACCAATGCTGAATCTCGATGACCACTGGGTGGACCGGATTAAAGGACCCTAAAGCAATGAGGGCACTACGAGAGTCAACAATCACCACAAAGGAGGATTGACACTGGGAAAGCAGGAGACAAAGAACATAGAGAATAGCATAAAGTTCTTCTGTGAAGATGCTGGCCTCCGGAGGAAGGCTACACATGTGTGTGGTCAGGAAAAACAACGGAGTAGCCCATACCGTCAGCAGACTTAGACCCATCGGTGAAGATGGGAACGGAGTGGGAGTGAGAAGAAAAGTGCTCAAGGAAGAGGCGTTTCAGAACTGTAGAAGGGGTAAAAGCTTTAGTGATGCAGGTCAGAGAAGTACAAAATTTGAGAATGGGGACCCTCCACGGGGGCAAGGATGGAACAATACAAGGAGAAACATTGGTAATACGAACCGAAAGAGAATCTTGTAAGCGAGACAAACGGACAGAAAGAGGAAGGTGGTGAAGAGGAACAGGAACTACAGGAGGGGTAAAAGCACGATAGAGGCGAGAGTCAAGATCCGGTAAGGATCGCGCAAGATAGAGTAGACTGTAGCGATCATGGCGGTCCTGGAGAGACAAAGCCAGTGTCAGCGTACAAGCTGAGGGTAGGAGTAGAACGAAAAGCACCAGAGCTGAGGTGCAACCCAGTATGGTGCAAGGGATTAAGACGGCGAAGAGTCGAAGGAGAAGCATAAGAGTATGCAGGGCAACCATAATCGAGTTTAGACAGGACGAGAAAGGAATGCAAATAGAGGAGCGTGTGTATCTGCTCCCCAAGAAGTATGGGATGAAACCTTAAGTAGGTTAAGGGCCTTAGAACATTCAATACGGATGTAAGAGACATGTCGTCCGTTGACAAGAGTGTCAAACGTTTGGATGTTTGTCCAAGAGACAAACGAGTGTCAAAAAATAACCCCAAAAGCTTCGTGGAATCTTTGTACTCAAGGGGATGACCATAAAGTGACAAAGAGGGATGAAGAACGACCCGCTTCCGAGTAAAAGTCACGGCACAAGTCTTAGTAGTAGAGAACTTTAAGCCATGATCGGTGGCCCAAGATGACACGGCATCAATCGCAAGTTGAAGCCGTCGTTGAAGGAGAGGCGAATCATCACCCTGACAGCAAAGAGTAAGATCGTCAACATAAAAAGCGGAGAAGATGCCAGAAGGGAGGAAAGAAGACCATTGAGGGCAACCAGAAAAAGAGTAGTACTCAGAATACTACCTTGGGGCACACCTTGATACTGCCGAAAAAAGGCAGAGAGTGGGGTACCAAGCCTGACTCGAAAGGCACGACGAGAGAGAAAGCTTTGAAAGAAGAGAGGGAGATTACCACGAAGGCCAAACGAACGAAGTTGGGACAGAATATGGTATCTCCAAGTTGTGTCATAAGCCTTTTACAGGTCAAAAAGGACAGCAACAACGGAGGTCTTCGCAGCAAAAGCAGTACGAATATAGACCTCCAAGTTCACCAGGACATCAGTCGTGCTGCGGCACTTGCGAAAAACAAATTGAGGAGGAGAGAGTTGGTGATGGTGTTCCAAGAACCACATCAGATGAACATTTACCACTCGCGCAAAGAGTTTGCAAACAACTTGTGAGAGCAAGAGGGCGGAAGTCCTTAGGGGACGTTCCGAGAGACCCTGGTTTCCAAATGGGGAGTACAACGGCATCGAGCCAGTCCTCAGGGACGGACGACGACTCCCAGACCTAGTTATACAGACTCGGTAAATACCGAGACGTGCACGGAGGGAGATGGTGAAGCATCTCAAAATGAACGTCATCCGAGCCCGCTGCATTAGATCCGCAGAGGGCCAGAGCAGACTGAAGTTCAGAATGAGAGAAAGGGTCGTTATAGGGAAGGCGGAGATGAGTGTGGAAATCTAAAGGATAAGATTAAAGAACAGGCTTACGAAGGAACGAAAAATTGAGGAAGATGAGAACCAGAGCTAACAGAAGAAAAGTGGGAATCCAGTTCGGTCGCGACCTTCACTGGATCTACCACAAGAGTACCACGGAGGTGGAGAACCGGCGAGACATCTGGAACGAAGTTGAACGCAATCTCGCGGATCATCTTCCAGATCTGCAGCAGAGGAGTATCGGACGTAATGGTGGAAACATAAGATCTCCAACTCTCACGTTTAGCTGTACGGATGGTCCTATGGGCCACCGCACTTGCCTTCCAAAACAATGAAAGAATCAGTCGTCTGCCGGCGGCGGTGTTTCTTCCAGGGTGCACGCTTACAGCGGACAGCCCAAGCACAGTCCACATTCCACCAGGGAACGCACTTCCGTGTGCCCTGGGAGGAAGAGCGAGGAGTAGAGCGGTGGGCAGCGTTGAAGACAGTGTCATAAAAAAGAAGGAGGGCGCGAGGAAGAGGCAGAGAGGAGAGGTCAGATTGAGTAGCACGGAGGGTGAATAGGTTCCAGTCAGCCTTGGCAAACTGCCACCTAGGGAAGGAGAGGGTACAGTGGAAAGAGAAAAAGGAAACGAGGATTGGGAAATGATCACTTATGGAGGTCAAGAACCTGCCACGTGATATCTAAGTAAAGGGACGACGAACAGAGAGAAAGATCAAGACAGGAAAGGGTGCGAGTTCGAGACTCCACATGAGTGGGCTCACCAGAATTCAGAAGAGATAGAGAATAAGCGAGGATGAATGGTTCGAGAAAACGGCCTTGGGTGTTTGTCAGAACATCACCCCAGAGGGAATGTTGACAGTTGAAATCACCCAAAAGGACC